CTCGAACAGCACAACGCCGAGTTTTCTGAAAATATCTCGCATGCTTTAGTGTTAGCATACAGAGCCGAAACAAATGCTAACAGACCGCACTAAATTTTACCCGAGCTTATGTTCTCACGTGTGTGTCTTATTTAATTATCTTTCTTTTATATAAGTGTGAGACTCGTCTAAACTCTGCACACCGCACTAAAACACTGTCCCAGTGTCTCCTCGTTCTTCTTTTTCTCCTCTGTGCATTCATTTCGAACGTGAATAACCGTCATCTTACAGCTTTCTGATTTAAAGAGCACAGGAGTGCAGGTTTTATTGATGGCGACGCGAGCATTAAACGCAGAGGGGACGTTGTGAATAACTGGGATAATAAAATATTTTTCTATCATGTCTATGTTTGAGTTTTCAGTGTACAGTATAGAGTATTTATAACAGGGTCGAACAAACATATCATCAGGTCAGAGGTCAAAAACACCCGGGATTTTAAGACAACGTGAAAACATCATGAATACGCTACGCAGCATAAACTCGTCATTGTTTAGTCTCTAAAGGGGCGTCGTCCCGGACAGCAGGAAACGCCACGAGCTCTTTGATGACCCTCTCGGCGATGGTTTGGTTATTCGCTGCGACGATTCTCCTGGACATCAGGTCCATGGGTCCACCTGCACGTTAAACACACGCTGGCATGAGCACTGCGGTCTGATTTACATCGCAAGTATGAAAGCATCGGGTTCTTCGTCTTCTCTCACCCTCGAAGTCCAGGAGAACTCCTCCTGCCTCCTCCACGATGACCGCGGCGGCCGCCACGTCCCAGCAGTGGATCCCGATCTCGTAATACGCCTCCACGCGCCCCGCCGCCACCTGGCACATGTTCAACGCAGCAGAGCCCAAACCACGCATCCTGACAGAGGGGAGCGGTGAGACAGAGGAGCGGTGGGAGACGGGGAGCGGTGAGACGGGGGAGCGGTGAGACAGAGGGGAGCGGTGAGACAGAGAGGAGGGGTGAGACAGAGGGGAGCGGTGAGACAGAGGGGAGCGGTGAGACAGAGAGGAGGGGTGAGACAGAGGGGAGCGGTGAGACAGAGAGGAGGGGTGAGACAGAGGGGAGCGGGGGAGGGGTGAGACAGATGAGAGCAGCTCCTATGTTTTCTTTTTCCAAAATTGTAACGTGGCCGTGGGTAAGACAAAGGTTACTAGTGAGGTCCTCGCTCTTTAGCTCTTTGTCTGTGTGTGTGTGTGTGTGTGTGTGTGTGTGTACCCGTGCACTGGCAGACAGAGGATCTTCCTCATGTTGGAGAAGATTTTGTCGACCACGTCAGGGTCTCGGTCTGAGCCGAACTCCGTGGCAATCATGGACTGATTAATCTCTGAAACGGGATTTAAACAGATCGGGGTCAAGAACATCTGTTCTGTTACGCTGTGAAAATGAAAAGAGATGAGAGGAGGATGAGAAGGATGATGAGGAGGAAGAACAAGCGTGACGATGACGTGTGGAACCTTTCTGATGGGAGACTTGTAGAGGTTCTCCGTTACAGAACGCTCCTTTCCCCCTGCGGGCCGTGTACATCTTATCCTCTATACAGCTGTACACCACGCCAAACTCCAACTGCAGCGCGCACACACACACACACACACACACACACATACACACACACACATACACACATACACAACGTTAAAGCAGAAAGGAAGAAGAAGAAGCGTGTAGACTAAAGGAAGTGGTGTGACGTCTCTCACCGTCTTCTCGACTGCAAACCCGATACACACCGCCACGAACGGATATCTGGATTAAAAGCATTTAAGAGCGAGAATTACCACCGGTCCTCATTCCTCTACAGATATTTACACCCCCACTGTTCGTGTTCCAGAGGATCTAGAATCCAATCCTGACACCGGACACCGCGTCTTATTCCGTTTGTTTGTTTTGTTTGATGTTTTTAAGGCGTGTCCGGGATTTGAACTTCCCTTCGATGATGAACTGACCCGTGTACGAAGTTAGTGGTGCCGTCCACAGGGTCGATGATCCAGGTGGGATTTTCAGACAGGACGCAGGGCTGACCATCAGCTACTGACTCCTCTCCGATAAAGCTGACGCGCGCGCACACGCACGCACACACACACACACACACACACACACGCACGCACACACGCGCACACACACGCACATGAAGAAAAAGGATTTAAAATGTGCCGTTTTTACCAAATGTGATTATTCTTCACTTTACAGTTATTTTCATTTTTTACTCTTTTTTTTTTATTATTATTATTATTTATTCTAGCAATCTTTCTCTCCGCAGGCCACACGATCGAGAACAGGAAATCTATTTTATTATAAATCATTATAAATTGATGAGTTTATTGCTAATTGCAGCAAAGGACAGTACAAAAAAACAATAATCATGTACAATATGTGGGTGAAAGTGTGAAGAAGAAGAAAAGCTGCAAATGGACCGTAAAATAAACGGGGAAAATAAATTAAAAAAATAACGGAACAGAAATGTTTAATAATAATTCATTCAATAAGTGAGTAAATAAACGATTAAGCATTTAAATGAACGAGCGAGTCAGTAAATAGATGAGTAAATGAGTATTTGCGAAACAGAAATGTGCCGTGTTTCGGTACAGAGTCGGAGTGAGACTGCTGCTGTGTGTGTGTGTGTGTGAGTGTGAGAGATACCTGTGTGTAGGAAACTTCTCCTTGACTGAAGTGATAATGAGCTGCTCCACTTTCTGGTCGGTTTTAGTCACCAGGTCCACCGATGTGCTTTTACACATCACCTTCCTCTCATTCTGCAGAGCCTCGCGTACCACCTGTAAGCGAGAGAAGGTGAGGGATTGAGTGAGAGAGCAAGAGAAAAAAAGAATGTGTGAGAGAGAAAACAAGAGAGGGCTGGGGGAGAGAAAGCAAGAGAGAGGGAGAAAGTGAGAGAGGGTGAGGGAGAGAGTGAGTGTGTGAGAAAGCGAGAGAGGGGGAGGGAGAGAGAAAAAGAGTGAGAGTGAGAAAGAAAGAGAGGGTGGGGGAGAAAGCAAGAGAAAGAGAGAGTGAGAGTGGGGGGAGAAAGCAAGAGAGTGAAAAGCAAGAGAGGGTGAGGGAAAGAGAGATTGGGTGAGAGAGTGTGAGAGGGTGAGGGAGAGAGAGATTGAGTGAGAGGGGGAGGGGAAAAAAAATGGGTAGAGTGTGTGAGAGGGTGAGGGGGAGAGAGAGTGAGTGAGAGAGTGTGAGAGGGGGAGGGAGAGAGAGAGTGAGTGAGAGGTGTGAGGGGGAGGAGAGAGATTGAGTAAGAGGGAGAGAGATATTGGGTGAGAGGGGGAGGGAGAGAGAGATTGGGTGAGAGGGAGAGGAGATTGGGTGAGAGGAGAGAGATTGAGTGAGAGTGTGTGAGAGCAGTGAGAGAGGGTGAGGAGAGAGAGATTGAGTGAGAGTGTGAGAGGGTGAGGGAAATGGGTGAGAGGGGAGGGAGAGAGATGGGTGAGAGGTGTGAGAGGGTGAGGGAGAGATTGAGTGAGAGAGAGAGGGGAGGGAGAGAGAGATTGAGTGAGAGTGTGTGAGAAGGGTGAGGGAGAGAGATTGAGTGAGAGTGTGAGGAGAGAGGTTGAGATGAGAGTGTGTGAGAACGGAGATTGGGTAGGGAGGGAGAGAGATTGAGTGAGAGTGTGAGAGGGGGAGGGAGAGAGAGATTGGGTGAGAGGGGAGGGAGAGAGAGATTGAGTGAGAGTGTGTGAGAGGGGGAGGGAGAGAGAGATTGAGTGAGAGTGTGTGAGAACGTGAGAGAGGGTGAGGGAGAGAGAGATTGAGTGTGAGAGTGAGAAAGAGAAGGACAGACCTCGCCTGCTTTTCTGGCCACAGCCACAGCGTGGTCCATGGCTTCCTGCCAGAGATCAGGCATCTCTCTGTCCTGGATGTAAATTGTCTGTGAGAGAGCGGCGCTGAAACACGCTGCAGAACAGGAATAAGCCTCGACCTGCTGGACGACACAAGTCTCTCTCTCAGCAGCCGAAGGACTCTGGGACGGGATTCCAGCAGTTTCTCTTTCTTCACCTTCTCCTGCACCGCATCCAGAACGTCATGAAGGCTGTTGTAAAGAAACCACAAGATGGTCATCAGAGCGTTTCTGTAATCTCACATCACTGTACTTCTCTCTTTTGATTTTAACTCTAAATCCATATGACGTCATTATAAGTAATAAAAAAGAAAAAGAAAACCTAAAGAATAATTGAGGCATGAAAGGGTGAACAGACTCAAGTCACCTCTAATGAACATTAATAACAGCTGAATTAATATTAATAACACTTAAGGTTTCAGTTTCCCCCTCGTAGTGCACTTTTATACCGGAATTAGGAGACTATTTCTCATTTTAGATATAAATGTTGATCATATTCCCTCCAGAATGCTCAGGAACCCTGATCAGATAAACAGGGATAAATGACACTCGGTCTACCATTTATATTCATTTTCTACCCTGGAAATAGAATTAAACCATTAGTAATGCAGGTTGTCAGAGACTTCAGTAACACGACATAATCATACTGTATGGAATGAACAAATATAATAATAATAATAATAACAACAACCAGAAAGACGAGACTGGAAAAAAAAAAACATCTAACCAGGAAGTGATGCTCCGCGCTCTTCTTCGACGGTGAAATGAAAGCCCGCTCAGGATGCATGATGGTAAACGACAGCGCTTACCGCCATCTAGCGGATAAGTGCGGTATTACAACACGTGATATTTTTTCTTTCCGTCCATCTTCTATACCGCTTACTCCTTTTCAGCGTCACGGGGGAACCTGGAGCCTATCCCAGGGAGCATGGGGCACAAGGCGGGGTTACACCCTGGACCGGGTGCCAGTCCATCACAGGGCACACAATCACTCACACACCTGTTCATACACTACGGACACTTTGGACAATCAGCCTACCATGTATGTGTTTGGACTGGGGGAGGAAACCGGAGTACCCGGAGGAAACCCTCACAGCACGGGGAGAACATGCAGACTCCGCACACACAGGGCCACGGTGGGACTCGAACCCCCGAGTCTGGAGGTGTGAGACGACCGTGTTAACCACTAAGCCACGCACGCGTTGATGAGGCAAAGATCAACATGGAGCAGAATGATGGGATGAGACGAGCATGGAGAGAGAAAGAGAGGAACTGCTCATGATCTGAAGACCTCATCTTATGCTGTGGGCGTGTACGGCTGCTATTATATCTGGTTCCTGTGTATTTACTGGTGGCGCGACTGCTGAATGAAGCAGCAGGATGAATTCTGAAGCGTATAGGGCGATATTATCTGCACAGATTCAGCCAAATGCTCCAAAAGCCCTATTGAACGGCGCTTCACAGTGCAGCTGGATAATAACGGCCTGAAGCTTACGTCAAAAGGACCCCAAGCCCTTTTTAAGGCAAAGAAGTGGAATGTTCTGCTCAAAAAGTCAATCACCTGAGCTAAAAATCCTATTCGCTCAGGTGCATTTCACTTGAAGGTAAAACTGAACATCTCAAAACATCTCAAGAACAAACAGGAAGCGAGGACAGCTGCAGTGAAGACCTGGTCGAGCTTCACCCGGAAAGAAACCCAGCGTCTGGTGATGTCTGTGGGTTCTGTACCTTTTATCCTACACAGGGTCACGGGGTACCTGGTGCCCATCTCAGGGAACTCGGAGGACACTCTAGAACGGGGTAACAAACCATCTCAGGGCACAATCGCACACTACGGACAAATTGGAAATTTGTCCAATCAGCCTACAACGCATGTCTTTGGATTGGGCGAGGGAACCGGAGTACCAGGAGGAAACCCCTGAAGCACGGGGAGAACATGCAAACTCCAGAGGGCTGCCAGGCAAACGTGCTAACCACTAATCCACCATGTTTGTCCAATTATTTTTGCCCACATACTTACAGCCCTCAGATTGAAGCTGAAACTCTGCACTTCGAGCTCATATTCATTTCATTTCATCTCAATATACTGTAACAGACAGCTGAAAACAACAATAACTCCGTCAAAGTCCAATGGATCTGAATGTATATGCAAAAGTCATGAAAGACACAAGGAAACATGATTGTATTTTTTTTAATATGGCTTTGATATTTTTATTTCCCTGTTATGTTCGCAACCTGGAACCAACCTTCTGCCCATTATTACGTGGTGAAAACGGCACTGTGGTGAACCGCATGTCCGTCGGAAGTCAAACAGCCGTGACGTCGACGAGCAACTGATCAAAAGCGGTGACCTGGTAAAGCGTTACATAAAAGCTTCGTTCGGAAAATCGATTACCGTGACATGAAAGTGTAATACTGGTACACGTTTACTTGTAGGTTGGAACAGGGAGAGGAAATACTCCAAATATTGTATCTGGCACTAACAGACTGTCGTACGTTAGTACTTCCTTGTCGTGTAATATTGCTACCTCGTTAGCGATAGTAAATGTAACGAAACGTAAATGTGTATATCGTCGGATCCGCGTAAAAACTGTAGACCACCGGATCAGATTCATGAATTATCGCTTAAATTATCGCTCCCAGTGAGTTCGAAACTCGTTCCCTTTTCCAAAACAGAAAATACACTTCTGTACACGATCGCTGTAATATAATTAGACGAGTGTAGTGGGACGGTATGAGAAAATACAGACGAAGCATAAATATGGGTTAAACACGTCAAAACGAGTCCGTGGTTTCAAAACAAAACAAACAAAAAAAACAGTCATATAAAACGTGTCGAACGTAAAAAAAAAAACCCAAAAACAAACAAACATGAAAAATCGAATGAAACTGTACCCAATTTCAGTTTCCTCCTTCTGTAAACGTAGTCGTCATGTAGTCGAGGTATGTTCGGCGTTTATTTCACTGGAGCTATGAGGGTAATATGTCCAAGAATACACACACACGCATGTCCGACTCTTCATGCTTACTTTCTTTAAACGATGAATGTGTACACCAGTCGGGAATTGGGAAGTTTTATCCTGCTAACGTCTAGACTTTCTGATGCAAAATTCTGTCCTTAAACTTTAAAAGGCGGAGCTTCGAGGAATGAACGATTACAAAATGGCCGCCGCGGTTCCCAGAATTCGGCTCCACGGTGAGTTTTTGCTTACGGATACGTCACGTCGCGTCCTAATAGCAAGAGCAACTCTGTGACATGACTGAACATCTGGATAAGGGTTTTACGCAGATACTGGGATCATTAGCTACATTAGCCTTTACTTTAGCTAAGTAGCATTTAGGTAATTAGTAATACCACAAACCAAACATATCTTTGCTGATGGACTACATTTACGGCAAGGAGGAAACTTTGCATATATATATATATATATATATATATATATATATATATATATATATATATATAATCTCTTTCTTTAAGGTCTGGATACATTAAGCAAATTTATTCGTAGCAACAATGACACAAATTAATATTTAATCCAGAGAAATTGGAGATCTGTAGTAATAGTTATCTATAAGATGAAGATTTGTGTTGTGAAGATATTTTCGTGTGGATTGTCATGATGTCTTAGTGTATGCAGACCTTACTCACAACCCAAAAGTGCTAGAATTGCTAACAGCGAACAGAAACAGAGCTTGTTAGCACGATGCGTATGAGATTGTCGCCGTAGCTGCAGCCGAACGGACACTTCCAAAACAACAACAACAACAACAAAACAAAACAACGACACAAGGACATGCTCTTGTGTATCAGACTGTCTATTTCATCGTAGCTTTCAGAAGAAGGCGGGGTTGGTGTGTTCGATGATGCAGCGCTTGCAGTGGCGCTTGACGAAGCGCAGCGCGTCGAGTGACACGTCGCAGTCCTGCACGTTAAGCAGCTGCAGGTCGAAACAGTTGGCCGCCACTACCTGCAGCCCGCGGCCCGTGATGCTCTCGCACGCCTTCAGGCTCAGGCGCTTCAGATTGAAGCAGTTGAGCGCGAGTACCTCCAGCCCGGCATCCGACACCAGCGGGCACTTGCCGATGTCCAGGCTCTTGAGCTTGGGACAGCTCTTAGCCAGGTGCTCGATGCCGTGGTCCGTAAGGCCTTCGCAGCCTCGGGCATTCAGATAACGTAGCCTGGAGCAGTACTTAGCGATGTAGCGCACCCCTACGTCAGTGATGCGGCCGCAGTGCGCTATGCTCAGGTAGCGCAGGTGAACGTCCAGCTTGGCGATCTCGCGCAGCCCGAAGTCGCTGATGAAGCGGCAGTCACTGACGCTGAGCTCGCGCACCGCCGGGCAGTAGATGACGAGGAAGCGCAGACCCTCGTCGGTCAGGCGCACACAGCGGCGAAGGTACAGGTGCGTGAGCTGCGTGCAGTGAGCCGCGATGATGTGCAGACCCTCGTCCTCCAGCGCAAAGCAATCGCTCATGTCCAGGTAGCGGATGGAGATCTGCTGGCCGTGCAGAGGAGAGAGTTTGATGGACGCTTCCCGCGTCAGACTGATGCACGTCACCTTCGAGCATCCTGCACATGAGGAACGAGACAGAAAAACGAACGAATCGTTAGCTCGTGAGAGATTTGCTTGGCCTCACGTTGCTGCTTTGACACAGACTGAATTGAAACAAAGCAGCGTGTTAGATGGGTACAGAGGAAAACGTTTGCCACGGTTCCAAGTCTGGCTTGTCCATGGTCTCTGTTTTATCCATACGTGCCTTTCTCTACCTCTTTCTTGTCACGAGAGCATTAAAAGGAGCAATTCGGCGAAAACATTCGAATGACGCAAATAACCATTATAGATCGAGAGCATGCTGTTATTGCTATCTCATTATGATGCATCGATAGTCGTCGTAATGGCTTATTGGAGCAGCTGAAAGCGGTACTTCACCCTGCTTACAGACGCTTCGTGTCAGACGAGGTTTGTTCGGAAGGATACGGCGAAAGATCCCACCTCTTTTGCAATCTGGGTTCGTTCAGGGTTGAATTAGCTTTCATAATCAGGTCAGAATATTCCAGATGTTTCTGTTTGAATCGCTCCTTACACAAATCACTGCAGGCTATTGTTGGAAGCCCATAATGTAATACATGCGTTGGGAGACTGCGGCCACCTCTGTATCGTTTCAGTTTAAAATAACATAAGAAACCTGTCTGCAGAGAGGGGTTCAGTCAGGAATCGATTATACGAAGTCCACCAAAAGGGTTAAGTTGGTGTTGAAAAATTTGCCTTAAACGTTGAAGAAGAGAAACATCTGAAAGGAGTTATTATTTTTTTTTGTAGGTTAGGATGGTGGGGGGGGGATGGTTGGGTCTCAGAATGCAAACATAGTATCATTCAACAGGGGGCGCCATGCTCTATTAATTCTCTGAGAGAGCGTTAAATTGTGGAAATGACGCCACTTGGTCCTCACACTCAGACAGGAAGTGCAGGAAGTCTGAAATAGAACAAACACCAGGAAAGGGTTTGACCATGGAGGATGATTTTCTGAATTTCTGACTGGACAGGGATTATAAAATTCCATCTTCTGGGTCACCAGATATTGTTTCAAGATCTGCAAATGAAAGGATTTATCTGAACCTAATAAATGAGAAGAGATAAAGATGACATGTTCTGCTGCATACTGCAGAAAAAAAAAGCGGAAGCAACTCAGTCTAGATTTCATTTCTCCTCATCATTAAATCATTCATGTGAGAAACGTTATTTCACTTAATGAGCAGAGCAGATGATCCCAAAGCACCTCGAGGTCAGAGGTTTATTTTCCTCTCGGAGAATACAGCATGGACAGAAAGAGCTATTAATATATTTCCCAGGTCCAAGAGGAAGTCACGCATATTTCAGAATAATCTATCAGTGAGAAAGGCCGCTGCAACCATCGTACATGATGAGGAGTAAATGGAGCAGAAACAGTGATCCATTTTAAACTTGAGTCAGATTCTGTTTGGGTTCGGAGTGCTTGGCTCAGGATGTGCTTGGGTCACGATGAATTTTGTGAAGTGTTTAATTCGGAATCTGACAGACAGTCTAACGGTGCCGTATAGTATTTGATTTGGGCCATGTTTGAGCCAGATAGCCTTTGATCTGTGCTGTATATGGGCCAGATTATTTTTTAATTTGGTTATATTTGGGACAAGTAGTATTTGATTTGGACCAGATAATA